AACAATGAAAAAGGTAAAATGATAATGATCTTGATTGTGCTTACTAATATAAACTCCAATTATTTTTAGTAAAAACTGTATTACAAGGAGAAATTGGCAAAACTTGGATGATAGAGGTACTTAGAAATTACACTATCAGAAGTTATTAGACAAAAATACGGTGGAGAAGATTTTTACAACAAAATAGACATAGCACTCCATTCAACAGTGTGATATGTATTCTATTACATACCAAATCATTTCATAAATTTACTAGATGATAGTCCACAAAAGAAATCTCAGCAAATAGCAAATAACTGATCTCATACAGAGGTATCTAATACAGAGCTACTTTCTGGTAGCAGTGTAATAAATTTATAAATCAACAAAAGCATAATTTGAAAAGTCCATATGTTTGGAAACTGAAAAGAATACTTCTGAATGATTCATTTGGAAAGAAATCACAACAGAGGAAACTTGTTTCCAGCAGTATGGCAGACTGGATCCTCTTGCAAACAATTAAGGAACTTGTATAAAATGTACAGTACATATTTTAGTTACAGTAGTGTTCTAGGAAGAAATAAGGAATTAGAGGACAACAATCAAAGGAAAGCAGAAATTCAAAGAGGTAAGACTTGGGGCACCTGGGTGGCTCACTTGGTTAACCATCTGCTTTCGGCTCAGGTCATGGTCCCAGGGTCCTGGGATCGAGCCCCGCATCGGGCTCCCTGCTCAGAGGAGAGCCTGCTTCTCCCTCTCCCGCTCCCCCTGCTTGTGTGCGCTCTCTCTCTCTCTCGCTCTCTCTCTCTCTCTCTCTCTCTCGGTCTGTCAAATAAATAAAAAAAGAAATCTTAAAAAAAAAAAGAGGTAAGACTTGAGGATATTTCCTGAACCCAGTGTTCATGAACTTGTGTTTTCGTGGGTTGGCAGAGTACAGGAGATAAAATCAAGGCCCAGGGTCCTGCCTAAGATTGGGACTCTAATAAGAGGTGTTCTTGTATAAATCTAGAACATACAAAGGGTTTCACACTCAAAGTAAGAGAGAACTAGAAATAAGCCCTAGCATAGAGTTAGGATGAATCATTAGTGGGTCGTGGAATCAAGTATGTGGTTACCATCAGCAGTACTGTTTATTGTTGTTTTTATTTTTGTTTGTTTTTAAATATCAAATGTAATGCTTCAGGTAACTTTTTGTTTCATTGTTAATGAGTTAGTGTGTATTTGTATTTGAATGTGTATATGAGTACAAAACATAATACTGAGTGGCGAAAACTAGTTGCAGACTGATAGGTAAGTATAATTGAGTTTATGTTATAAAATAATCCAATATGCTGTTTTGGAAAGATAAATACCAACTGTAGTATACCAGCTTCTGAAGACAGAATAGAATGGGATTAGGACAGTGTTCCAAGGAATGATGCAAGATCCCCCCCTTTGTGTGTGTGTGTGTGCACGCACGTGCACGTGTGTGTGACACACCTGCAAACATTTACCTTAAAAAAAAAAAAAACCTAAGTGAATATGACAGAATGTTAACATGTAGGTGATAGGCACTTGGATATATATTGGCTATATAATTTCCTGTACTTTTGTGTTATTTGTACTATATGATTTTTGAAAAAGCTGTATCATGCACTAAGTAGGTAACTATTATAGTTTTATTATGGGGAGAGTCTTTAGGGGGTGAATGATGTCAGAATGAAATTTTTTTTTCAGAATGAAATTTTTATTTAAGTGTTCTTTAGAAGAGCACCCCTGGGTGGTGCAGTCGGTTGAGCTTCCAACTCTTGGTTTAGGTTTAGGTCATGATCTCAGGATCATGAGATCGAGCCTTGCGTCAGGCTCAGCAAGGAGTCTGCTGGAGTTTCTCTCTCTCCCTCTCCCTCTCCCCCTCCCTCTGCTCTCTCTCTCTCAAGTGACACCTTTAATTAGATGAAAGCTATGTAGTTGCTATGTAATTAAGTACATAGAAAGGGAAAATACATGAAGTATGATGTAGCCAAAAATGCTTGTTAAATTAGAAGCCCTGATGAATAAAGGAAGAAGCTCTCTCTCTTGAGTGGTGCATTCAGGGAAAGCAAACTATGACCCACCAAATAATCAAAGTTTAAACATTATATTATTAAAATTGTAATTTGTTTCTTAACCATGAGGCAAAAAACTAAAAATATATAATGTATATATTATTTTGTCATTCACATTTTTGTTTGTTTGTTTGTTTTACTTAGCTGGTCACCTGACATTTGAATGCCGTAATTTTCTCCGAGTGGACCCCAAAAGGGATATAGTTTTGGATGTGAGCAGCACAAGCAGTGAAGAGAGTGATGAAGAGAATGAAGAACTGAATAAATTGCAGGCATTACAAGAAAAAAGTAAGTAATGCTTTTTCTTTCCCTCCATCCTTTAAAAATGTTTCTAAACATTCTGCTTATGATTATGTCATGTTTATTGTTCTATTGTACTTATCATTTAGATAGCTTGTGTATTTTATGTAAGAGGTACTGCATAGGTAAGGAAATAGGCTTTGAATTTCTAGGTACTTTGCCTCAGATCAAACAGCTAATCAGTGTTAGAACCAGGAGGCAAGTCTATTTCTGATTCCACAATGCAGGTTTTGTTGTTGTTGTTTTTCCATCACACTAAGATGTGTCACATGGTACAAAGAGTCTGATTTAAGACTTGGTTTGTAGACCTGTTTGGCCATTTTGTAGCATGTGACTTTCAGCAAGTCATTTAACCACTGTGAGCCTTAATTTCTTTGTGGGATATTGCAAAGAATAGGTTTGTCAAGTTACACTCATTCACATCAGAGATGCTAACCAGTAGCCAGGTTTACTAGTAATTTCAAGTATATACATGATCATGAGGCATAGGGAAAGCTGCAAGAGTTCTAGGACCACCAGTATAGCTCCCCACATATTTTCTTTCTACTTCACAACCCACTCTGGCCAAGATTAACATGAGGTTTCTTCATTACTTACCCAAAAGAAAGTCATTTAATCATGAAATATCTCAATTTTAAATCCATATAGTTACATTTTCCAGGGAGCCATGTCTCATACATCCATAGATCCCAGGATTATGTACCATAAACAATCTTAGACAAACCAGCTACATCCTATAAGCAGTCTATAAATAAGGATTCTCTTGCCAACAACTTGATCATGGATCTTTAGCTTTCAGAACTGTGAGAAAATAAATTTCTGTTAATTAAATACACCTTCCTCGCACGCCCCCCCCCAGCCAATTCTCTAGTTAGCAAATACCACTCATTTGTTTCCAGGAGGTCTGTCATTAGCATGTTTACAGAGAGATTTAACTAAGTTACCTTTTTTCTCTCTTGGGGGCATCCTCCTCTCTCCTCAAAGAAAGAGAAGATTGCATACCTATTGTTTAACTATTTCTTTCCCATCATGTGTATAAAATAGCCTATCCTTGCAATGGGGCTTTAGGGATAAAATGTAATGCTGTATATGAAAATACTTTGTAAACTTCAAAATGCCATATGGTCGATGTCACACAGAATAAAAATGTAACTTGTTTGAGTATGGGTTTAGGCATGGAATGAGAGAGATACAAAAAAGTTTAAATCTTATTTTAGCTCATCAGAGAATAAACCAAATACACTTTAAAACTTTTTAAGCTTTCCATATTACATCTAGTGAAGGTAAATGAAGTCAAATGCCATCGTAATAGGACAGGCTGAGAAGGCAAGGGGAAGAGAGTCCTAAAAAGGACAAACAAGACTTACATTACATATGTGTATATAGAGCATCAGGTAAAGATAGCTGCTTGGGTGTACATACTTGATTTTATTAGCTACTGAAACACCACTGAAATGATAGTGGAAGAATTTTTTTTAAAAAAACATAAACCCACAAAAACAAAGAAAATGAGATAGGAAGCAATAGTAACAAACTTAAAAAGCAGATGGGTTTAAGGATAATGGATTGCACACTTGAGAAAGCTCAATCCTTTAATAGTAGGAAGTCTGAGGAGTAACCTGATAGTATACACTTTAAAACTCACCAAAGACTTGGTAATGAGTATCCTTAGGTACCTCTGTGAGGACATCTGTAAAGCTAAAAACAGAGGGATTGGTTAAATATCTGACGTAATCCCCTTCAATTCCCTTTGCCTACTCTGTGAAGCCAGGTGGCTTCCCTCCATCACCTCAGCAGGCTACTACATGTCTGTTTTCTAGACAGGGTAAAACAAAGGGTCTTTGAATTGGGACATACCAAACACAGATGAAAACAGTAAGTTAAAGTACAAATAGAGAATGGCGAGAACCTTCCAGACATCTTCATCTGTTTGGTTCCCAGACTTCTATCACTCAGGCAGAAGATTTGAAGATTTATCTCTGGGAGATCTGACTGGTCTAAGAAGAAAGACAGACATAAAGATACTGACCTCAAGGATTCTTTAAGGACACGACATAGCCACATTATCAGCAAAGTTAAGATTTAGAAGTTTCACTTGCGCAAAGCTTCATATGAGCTTTTTTAGACAATCAGGGAGCACTAAATTTCTGAAGAGAGACTTTCACGTGAAATATAGATACCTAAACCAACCAATCAACGGAACAACTTGAAGGATACAGAGTCTGTGCAGGGAGAAGAAAACAGAAATCATTAATGCCCAGTTTTATAGAAAGATATGCTACAGCACCCATGAAACAAGAATAAGATAGTATAAAAAGAACAAAACAACAAAAGAATTTTTGGAATTAAAAAAGAAGCAGACATTCAAAACTTGATAGAGCTGGAAGCTAAAGTTAAAGAAATCTAACAAGCAAAATAAGAGAAGGAAAAAAAAAAGATAAGACAAAGAATCTGTGTAGGAAACACTTCATTCAGATGAGCCCTAGAAGGAGAAAACAGAAGGAATTTCCAAGAACCGAAGGACATTAGTTTCCAGATGAAAGTGTTCAATAAGTACTAAGCACAGTGTTAGAAATACACCTACACAGGGGCGCCTGGGTGGCTCAGTCGTTAAGCATCTGCCTTCGGCTCAGGTCATGATCCCAGGGTCCTGGGATTGAGCCCCACATCGGGCTCCCTGCTCAGCGGAAAGCCTGCTTCTCCCTCTCCCACTCCCCTTGCTTGTGTTCCCTCTCTCGCTGTGTCTCTCTCTCAAATAAATAAATAAATAAAATCTTTAAAAAAAAAAAAAGAAATAGACCCCCACAAAGGCACATCGTTATAAAACTTTGTATCATAGGAAACAAGGAGAATATAATTCAAACTTCCAGAGTCAGGGATAAAACAGATCATAGGTAAAAGATCAAGAGTCAGAATAACTTTGTTCTTCTGTAAAAAAATACTGGAATCTAGTAGATGTAGATAATGCTTTCAAATTTTTGAAGGAAAATTATATCCAAATTAGAATGATACACCCAACCAAATTATCAACCAAGTGTGAAATAGAAAAAAGATCTTGGCAGACATTCAAAGTAAAAAAAAAAAAAAAAATTACCTCTCACGTACTCTTTCTTAGAGCACTGATTCCAGAGGTTTCTACCAAAGTAAGGGAGTTGACCCTTAGAAGGAAGACTTTCTAGGAAGTAGAGAAGATACGAAGGGAGTCTCTAGGGCATTTGTAGAGGAGATCTCAGGAAGACAGCCACACCAGTCACAGAGACCAGGCTGAAAGATCAAAGTGAAGATTCTGGGAGAGAAAGCCTAAGATTGTCAATTCCACAGGGACAGTTTCTACCCCATCCATCTCCACTGCCCTATCTAAAAACAAAAAACAAGAAAACCGAGAAAACCCAAACCAAACCAAAACAAAAACTCTAGTATTAGGAAGGCAGTTAGAGAACACATAATTTAAACCTAGTTTTACAGAAAAGGAACTGAGGACAGATGACTCCCCAGGTCACTAACTTGTCACCATGAAGCCAGCACTGTGATCCATGTTTCTTACCTACTAGTCCTATACTGTTTACAGTGTGGTGCTCTCCTACCTTAGAGATCACCCAGTCTATTGGTTCTTCATCTTTTTTCCCCTCACCACATCGATCTCGAAGGATAAAGTACACTCTCATCATGAATAGTGGTTTAGTCTAGAGGTGATTTTTCAGTAAGAAAACCTGGGACAAATCTTACCCTGGCAGGAAAAGGAGGGAGTTAACATACCATACACCAGGATAGGGAGTAGTTGGTAAAACTTCGTTGTTAAAATCAGCTTTCCCTTAACCTCACGTTGAGAATGACTGACTCAATATAGACTTTTTTTTTTTTTTTTCCCTTTAAAAAGATACACTTGCCGGGCGCCTGGGTGGCTCAGTCGTTAAGCGTCTGCCTTCGGCTCAGGTCATGATCCCAGGGTGCTGGGATCGAGTTCCACATTGGGCTCCCTGCTTGGCAGGAAGCCCACTTCTCCCTCTCCCACGCCCCCTGCTTATGTTCCTGCTCTCGCTATCTCTCTGTCAAATAAATAAATAAAATCTTTAAAAAAAAAAAAACCATACACTTGCCTACGGTCACTTAAAGGCTCAGAACTTGTTTCCAAGTCTCATGGCTCCCACTCAGGAGAGTGCTTATTTCAGGATATCATGCAGATTACAAAAAGTATTATAAAAGGGATCCATATTTATTTCATGGTCATCTAGTGGAAGCCCAGTGGCCCCCTACTCAAACAATAAACTGGTTCCTAAATACAGGAGGAAAGGAGTACAGAGGTTGTGGTTCTTAGTTCCATTGATAACTTTGTGATAGTGCTTAGGATCTCGGATGGCGTGAGGGTAGAACACTGACTTGAGTGTGAGTTCTCATGCCATAGCCATTAGTGGTACTGAAGGCTCCTGAATCCTTCCTTGATTCTTAGAGGTGGGGAGCTCTTGTATCAACTCTCTTGAATAAGTTATGGTTGGCGGGGATCTTTTTAATGACAATAAAAATAGTGAACTAGGAGAAAGCAAAGAATTTTTAGTGTACTTATGTTAATTAGTTGTTCTGCTTTTATGAAATAGAGACATGAAGGGGAAGAGAGCTAAATGTCACCAAATAAAACTCAAAACTTATTTTTGTATAAGTTATGGTCTTTTTTGCTTCTGTTTACATTTGTTTCTATTATATTGTATGTTTTTCAGTATATTTAAGGAATTAAAAGAAAATCTTTCATTTAAAACGAAAGTCTAAATGACAAATACATCAATTTTTGACACGAATTAGAATATGTGAGAGCAGGACTTGACATGGATGGGAACAAGCATTGTTGTCGTATAGTACAACAACCTGGGACCCATGCAGCCTTATAAAATTGTATTACAGGTGCTATGAACAGGGAAAGATTGACTAGTCCATACGTAATGAGGATTATATGATCTTACTGACGCACTGTGTGTGTTTGTGTGTGAACATACTTG